TTTATTTATTATTTTTATTTTATGTGCATGTGTGTATTGCCTGCATGTAGGCTAAGTGCATCCATGTTGTGCAATGCCCAGACAGTTGTTAGCTTCCATGTGGGTGCTGGAATTCAAACCCGGGTCTTCTGCAAGAACAACCAGTGTTTTTAACCGCTGAGCTATCTCTCCAGCCACTTACTTATTATTTATTTATTTATTTATTTATTTATTTATTTATAAAAAGGTCTCACTTGGTAGCCCTTGATTGGCCTGGAACTTTCTATGTAGACCAGGCTAGTCTTGAACTCACAGAGATCCTCCTACCTCTGCTACCCAAATATTGGTACTAAAGGCATGTATCACCGCATCTAGCCCATACTATCTTTTTTTCTTATTTGTTTTTTTTAGACAATATCTCCAGGCTCAGATCTGCCTGGAACTCATGATGTAAGGCAGGTACACCTTGAATTTGCCATCTTGTCCTAACCTCTTGAGTGCTGGAATTATAGTTGTGTGCCAGTAGACATAAGGTTATTATCTTTCTTACTCCACTATGTGTCCAAAGACTTCATTTATTATTACATAAATATACACAAGAATGGAAAAAAGGAAATGAGAAAAAAAATTAAAGGAGCTCAGAAAAGCATCATTTAATATAGTATATTGGCTCAAATTCCAGTCAATAAGGCTGATACTTTTCTGTTCTAAATTAGTGTTACACCCTTTTGAAAACAACAGGTCTAGCTGATTTTTATCTTTTAAATTTTTTATTTATTTGTTATCTTATATTTTTGGTCTTTTGGAAACAGGGTATCCCTGTAGCCCCAGCTGGCCTGGAACTTGCTTTGTAGTAGACCAGGCTGGACTTGAACTCACAGAGATCCACCTGCTTCTGCCTCCCAAGTGCTGGGATTAAAGGCGTGTGTCACCACACCCAGCCTCTTTAAAAATTTTATTATTTTTATTTTATGTGTATGAGTGTATTGCTTGCATGTGTGTAAGTACACCCATGTCCTACAATTGGGCAGAGGTCAGAAGAGGGTGTCAGATCCCCTGGAACTGGAGTTACAGATGGTTGCTAATGTTATGTGGGTGCTGGGAATCAAACACAGGTCTTCTACAGGAGCAGTCAGTGCTCATAACCATTGAGCCATTTCTCCAATCCCTGATTTTAATCTTTTAACAAGCAGGTATATTACCCAGATATAGTAGTACACACTTGTAATCCTAGTATTTGGGAGGCTGAGGCAAGAGAACTGTGCGATGCCCCAGAGGTCAGAATAAGATATCCTTTGTAAATGGAGTTAGCTGACATCTGGGTGCTGGAAACTAATTCTGGGTCCTTAGCATAAGCAACCAGTGCTCTTATCTGCTGAACCATTTCTCCAGCCTCCATTTACTTAAAAAAAATTTTTAAATATTTATTATTTGTGAGCACACATCTGTGGACATGCACTGGTCAGAGGGCAACATATGGGAGGTCTTCTCCTTCCACAATTTGGTTGCTGTGATTGGATTCAGGTCATTAGGCTTGGCAGCAAGTGCCTTGACCCACTGAACCATTGCACTAACTCTAGATAATTTTTTTCCCAACCATTATTGAACACTTACATTGAATTTCTGTTCTGAGTGCTCTTAAGAAATAATGAGCCAGGGCTGGAGAGATGGTTCAGTGGTTAAGAGCAGCCAGGTGTGGTGGTGCATGCCTGTAGTTCCAAGACTTGGGGGGCAGAGGCAGGCGGATCATTGTGAGTTCCAGGCCAGCCTGGTCTACATAGCAAGTTCCAGGTCAGCTGGGGCTATGGGGAAACGCTGTCTCAAAAAGACCAAATATATATATACCAAACCAAACCAAACAAACAAACAAAAAAAACACGGACGGATCTTGAGACCTTAGAAGAGAGAGAGAGAGAGAGAGAGAGAGAGAGAGCGCAAGCACTGGTTGCTTTTGCAGAGGGCCTGGGTTTGATTCCCACCACCCACAGGCAGCTAAATGCAACTACAGTTCCAGGGTAATTCAACACCCCCTCTGACTTTCATGGGAATTGCATGACACAGGTGCATTGCATTTATATATATATATGTAGGCAATACATTCATACACATAAAATAAAAATAATTAAGTATTTTTTTAAAAAAAAGAAAAAAGGAGCCACGCATGGTAGTGCATCACTTTAACTTTAATCCCAGCAGGGGCAGGAGGCTAGGTGGAAGTCTGTGAGATCTAGGCCAGCCTGGTCTGGTCTACACAGTGAGTCCAGGAGTCTAGGTCAGCTGGGATAACAGGTAAACCCTGTCTCAAAAAAAAAAAAAAAAAAAAAAGAACAATGAAAATCTAGATTAATATTATTCTAATTGGGGGGCTAGAGAGATGGCTCAGCAGTTAAGAGTACTGACCGCTCTGGCAAAAGACCCAAGTTCGATTCCTAGCACCCACATGGTGGCTAACAACCATTGATAACTCCAGTTCCAGGGGAATCCAACACCTCCATGCTCATTTCATGATATGGGTGCGCTTACATATACATGCAAGCAATACACTCATACACATTAAAAAAATTATTCTATTTGGGTAGAGAAATAATAAGAAATAACTGCAGCCAGGAGGGTGTGAAGTTTTGCACCTGTAATCCCAGCACTTGGAGAGCTTAAACAGGATTGTAGCGAGTAATAGGTTTGAAGCTAATCTTGCCTACATAGTAAGTTTCAAGCCAGCTTGGGCTATAATCTGAGACCCTGCCTCAAAAAACACCACCAAGTTAGGAAAGTGACTAAGAAAATAGGAAAAATTTCAGAAAATAACAAATGCTATCAGAGAATCAAAATACAGAATAAGCAAGGCATAGTGGGACATGTCTATAATCTCAGTACTTGGAAAGTATAAGCAGGAGCAACAAGAGTTAAAGGTCTCCTCAGTTACATATAGTTTGAGGCCAGACAAGGATACAAAAGACCCTGCCTCAACTAGTTGAAAAGCGTATGTGAGTATTTCAATTGTGCATTATACACATAAATGCCTGTTTATACCAATGCCGAATTCACTACTGTACAAGATGACAATTTAGAAGGGAAGAAACAATTGGATTTTCAATGACTTAGTGTTGATATTAAAAAATAGTTGTTAGGGCTGGAGAGATGGCTCAGCAGTTAAGAACACTGACTGTTCTTGCAGAAGACCCAGGTTCAAATCCCAGAACCCCCACAGCAGCTAACAATTGTCTGTAACTCCAGTTCCAGGGGATTTGATAGCCTCTTCTGTCCTCTGGGGGCACTGCATGACATGGGTGCACTTACCTACATTCAGGCAATACACACATATACATAAAATTAAAATATTAAAAATAAAAATAGCTGTCTACTAAAAAAAAAGAAAGAAAGAAAGAAAAGAAAAAAGACCCTGCCTCAAAAAACAGAAACAAAAACAAAACCAGAACAGAAATGCAAGGA